GCGTTTTGACAAGACGTTTTAAATCACGGTGGTCTAGTGGTTAGTGCTGCTGACTACAAGCCGGAGGTCGTGGGTTCGAATCCCACCAGGGGTATATAGTAAGGGTGGAACTAACAGAGCACTTTTGTATATAAACTTTTTGTATCATGGCAATACAAACGGATAAGAAAACTAAGTATGTGGGGGCCTTTATAGTATAATATAAAGTTTATACATATAACGGTTTATGATCAAAAAATATTTAGAAATTTGTTTGTAATATTTAATAACTATAGGTTAAGTATGCTTAAAAAAAACTCGAGTGGTACTCTCTAAAAATGACTAATTGTCATAGCGAAAAAGCAGCCACTAATAATTCATTCCATATAATATGGAATTGACTATATCTCAAAAATGCTCTACTTTAATAATTTTTGACGGTATTTTTGGATTCAGGGAATAATTTTACATAATAATTGGCTCTTAAATGTTAGGGATACCAAGGTGTCCCATGGTTGAACATTAGGGTGCTCGTTAAAATTAAATTTTTTGCGACGCCCCCTAAAAAGCTTCGTTTTGATGAAAAAACACTGGGAATTTTTTTTTAAATTTAAAACAACACGTGCCTTAAGACGATCTAAGTTAATTTTTTGGTATAATCATGTCTTTTCTGAAATGATAATGAATGAAATAATAATTTTTTTGAGATTTAAAAGTTATCAACAATGAAATAACGTTTGTACTAATTTAGTTTTAAGACAAAAATATCAATTTGAATATCTTTCATTTTTTTTATTTAATAGACCAAATCATCTGGGAAAAATTTTGAATTTAAATTTTTGTCAATTGTTATTTCGATTAACTATTGTTTTTTTTATAGATTTGGGTTCTATAATTGTTTATATATTCTTAAAAAATTCCCAATCAAAACATGATTATACCAAAAAATTAACTTAGATCGTATTGAGGCACGTGTTGTTTTTAATTAAAAAAAAATCTTAGTGTTTTTTCATCAAAAAGAAGCTTCTTAGGGGCCGTCGCAAAAAAATTAATTTTTAACGCCCACCCTATTAAACATGGTATGAGTGAAAAACCAGCCATTAATAACTGTAGTAACTAGTCATTTTTGACTAGTTCATTTTTAGAGAGTAAGGCGTTAGAGCGCCATTTTCGGCAACCTTTAATAAAATAAAATAAAATAAATTAATTTTCCGAGTGTCTAAATGATATAACAAAAGTGAATTAATTCAAACAGTCTAATTTTTACCCTAATAGTGCAGCAAAGTACGATATAACCATATAACAAATATATGAATGCAACTGATCAACTCTACGAATATGACGGTTACGTACTTACAGGGGTTATTTTAAGTAGAATTTTCTAATTACGTTTTAAAAATTACAAAGCATGCTGATTTAAAGTTTGTTTTGCTGTCTGAAAATACATCTATACAACTATGTTACCTTCATATAGCACCTGTTTATTTTTATTAGCTTGGATAAAATGACAATTAAAGGGTTTGTTATTTATTATTTTTTCACAAAATTGGCATTTAATTTAATTTTAAAATTTGATGACAGCCATAAAAAACTAATTGGGATTCCGAAAATGGAACTTTAAGCGGTCTTGTATATTTCGTGTATACGGGCCCCTTAAAAATCTTGTGTTTATACCAAAAAATTTACTTAGATCGTATTGAGGCACGTGTTGTTTTTAATTAAAAAAAAATCTTGTGTTTTTTCATCAAAAAGAAGCTTCTTAGGGGCCGTCGCAAAAAATTTAATTTTTAACGACCACCCTATTAAACATGGTATGAGTGAAAAACTAGCCATTAATAACTGTAGTAACTAGTCATTTTTGACTAATTCATTTTTAGAGAGTAAGGCGTTAGAGCGCCATTTTCGGCAACCTTTAATAAAATAAAATAAAATAAATTAATTTTCGAGTGTCTAAATGATATAACAAAAGTGAATTAATTTAAACAGTCTACTGTTTTTTTATGAATGTGTTTTGTGGGGAAATTTTATTTTATGGCGATAAAACAGTTTATTTAACTGAATTTCCTACTTAATTTCTATTACTCCAAATACCCTAACCTATTGTATAATGTGTACTTTTTTTTATTTGCTTAAAATTAAAACTCATCAGATTCAAAAATGTAATGTGAAAATTTTTAATATTTTTACTTATACAGTTATGAATAGTAGATATTTATAATGGATGATTTTTAATTTAACAAAACAATAGAAAATTATCATGTTTTATATTCACTGTGCAAGTATTTTACCTATGACACAGGCTCGTAACCAGGGAGACCTAAAGGGACTTGGATCTTTAGGAGCCCCCAAATTTTTTACAAGCCCTTGATACATTTTTAAAACCCTTGAAAATGTTTTGTAGCATTTTTACAATTTTAAAATTTGTATGATTGCATGAATATAATAATCATTTTAAAATTTATACGTTAAAAATTTAATTCAATTACAATTTCATTTTCAATGTTTTTAAAAAAATATTTAGGTATTTCCAAAATTTAATTTTTAAATTTTTACCCTAATAGTTTGCAGCAAAGTACGATATAACCATATAACAAATATATAAACGCAACTGATCAACTCTACGAATATGACGGTTACGTACGAGGTGTGTTCAGAAAATATCGGGAATTTTCGTTTTTTGGAACAAATATTTATTTATTCGTCTACATTAATGTTGTCGCCTTCAAAATAGTCCCCATTGGATATTATGCACATGCTCTTCTTCCAATACTCGAAACACTTCTAAAACTCGATCTTTGGGATAGCCTTGAGTTCTTGCAGCGATGCGCTTTTAATGTCATGTATGCTTGCAAAACGACGGCCCTTTAAGGTTCTCTTTATTTTTGGGAATAGGAAAAAGTCAGACAGAGGCATGTCTGGCGAATATGGAGCCTAGGGCATCATTACAGTATTTTTTTGGCCAAAAATTTTGTTCAAAATTTAACAATTTTAGAACAAATTATGCTGCCACGCATTTCATACCCAAAACATTCGAAAAAATTTCATGGGATGAGCCAATTGATATACCAACATCATCAGCGACTTCTCTGATGGTTTATAACCATTTATTCAACTTTTTCCATGTTTTTATCGGTTGGTAATGTGCTTGTGCGTTCGGGGCGTTCGTCATCTTCAACGTCTTCACGGCCATCTTGGAAACTCTTATACCACTTGTAAACTCTTGTTTTACTTATAGCAGACTCACTATATATAGGACTTTGTTAACATTTCACAGAATTTATTTTATTTTTTTAAGCAAAATTGGATACAAATTCTTTGATCCATTTCTTTTAACGAACGAAAAATCGCCGAGCTCATAAAACACGTCTAACCTTAGCGGCTGCCACAGACAAAGTAAAAAATGAAAACAGCTAAAGTTTTTATCATACTTCGGGGGCATGTATACCAACATAATAAAGAAAATTTTATGACAACCGGACCCTCCGAACCCGCAAAATTTAACAATTCCCGTTATTTTCTGAAGACACCTCGTACTTACAGGGGTTATTTTAAGTAGAATTTTCTTATTACGTTTTAAAAATAACAAAGCTATGCTGATTTAAAGTTTGTTTTGCTGTCTGAAAATACATCTATACAACTATGTTACCTTCATATTAGCACCTGTTTATTTTGTTTTCCTAATTTAGAGGACACCCTACATATATTATATACAGGGTGTCTCGAAAATGACGCATCCAATTATAAATAACTTATTATGGAATTTGAAATTAAAATAGTATATAGTATATACAATGCAAGTACGGTAGCCCAAACTAACCGTTTTTTTATTAGCTGGATAAAATGACAATTAACGGGTTCGTTATTTATTATTTTTTTACAAAGTTGGCATTTAATTTAATTTTAAAATTTGATGACAGCTATAAAAAACCGATTGGGATTCCGAAAATGGAACTTTAAGCGGTCTTGTATATGTCGTGTATACGGGCCCCTTAGAGTCCCCCCTAGGATATACCTACCAATACTTATCATGCATTCATTTAGAAAATATATGATTTTGATATGTAAATTTAGATGTATTTAAAAAAATACAAGCCAACAAATTCAAGGTTTTGAATTATTTAAAGTTTAATTAATACTAAAAAATTCGGCGAAATCATGAATTTAATTTTAAAATAGATACTTAATTTAATGTTTATGATTATACATAAATTTATGTTAATTATTATTTGCCAAATGTAAGGCCGAAAAAAGTTTTATTACATTAACTACACAATAATAATAATAATTTAATAAATGGGTACCATGGTGCGTACGAATCAAATTTAAATAAAATTCTAGGTGCCAAATCTTATTATGATAAACTAACTTAAATCACAAAAAGTGGCGTTGCCATACCAATTGGTTTCCCATTTAAAAAATTCCATCCTCTATTATTTTCAAATTGGCAAATTTACAATTAAATGCTCCTAGTAACTCTTAGGAAACATAAATATTGAAAAAAAATTACGTATAGTATATAAATATTATACACAATAGGGTGCTTCATTTTAAAGCAACTATTTTCTTGAAAAAAATAATTTTTTTGGACAAATTAATATTCTAAACTCATATATATTCTATAATTTCAATTGCAAGAACTTCTGTTGTTTAAAATTGTTTACTATTTATTTTTGTTTTCCTTGATACTGCACAATCAAGTGGAATGGGTTGGCAATGAATATGTACATATGTTTTTGTAAACAGAAATTAAAAAAGAAAGTAATTGGTTAGTAAGTTAATTAACGTAAATTTATTTTATTTCCACACAAAAAAATTAATTATGCCCTATTAATTTTATTAAAAGTAAATTTGTCCTAATTATATATTTCTCCACATAGAAATTTTTTAAATACTTTTTTAAATTCATTTATGGTGTAGGTAAGTCAATTTTTAATTTAAATTTGTTGTATTTATGTATATGTTACTTTTTTAATAACAAATATTTAATAACATTACCCTATTCAATTAAATAAAGTACTTACTCAGCATTTTGACGACTCTATTTTGGGCTACCGTTGTTCTTAACAATCGCCCTCTTCTAGAATCATTTGTTGTAAGAGATCCGCCATACCTTCCAGCGATATTTTTGGATTTTCTTAACTGAATCCCAATAAGAATATACAATATAGTGATTAAAGTCATGGGTGCAACAAAAAATACAAAAGTGGAAATTTCAAAGGCGTGATCGAAAACGGTTGTTACAACTTGACAGTAACTATTTCTTCTACCATGTTCGACTTCGAATAAAATTCCGAACTGGATAGCCTGTGGAACTGCAAGACCCAAAGCTATTAACCATATAGCGATGATGTAGCGAATAGCTCTGGATAGCTTCGACATCGTATGCGTTAAAAAAGGATGGCATATAGCTAAATATCTCTCTACAGTAAAAGCTGTGATTGTAAGAACTGTTGCATTGGCTGACATTTCAGCTGCAAACCCCTGCAGAAAACAAAAAGTTTCACCAAAAACGTAATTCTGCGGAGACCAAATCTTGTACATTTCAGGAGGTAATCCACTAACTAAGAGTAACATATCCGATAAAGCTAAACTGAACAAATAATAATTTGTCGCAGTTTGCATAGATTTGTTTTTGGCTATCACTACACACGTACTAACGTTACCTAACACACCAGATACAAAAATAATACCGTAAATAATAGTAAAAGGCACTACAAGATTTAAAGAATACATCATTTCTGCCGTATCACTGGTATCTTTGGCATCTAAATACTCCTGGGTCATTTGATTGGTAGTGTTAATGTCCCAATCATCCATGGTGGTATGATTTAAATCCATTTTAAAAATACTACACACGCCGTCAAATATATTATTAATAAACACGCACTGTACTTAATGTAGACATGTCGAACGCAGTTCGCGATATGCGCGCGAGCTTATTTATTAAGTTCAGCGAATAGAACACGCTTAAGGACAGGTTGTCGCGCTTAAAAACGTTTTGAAAATGAGTTCGACCGGGTTTTGTTTATTGTTGGGCACTTGCCTGCGATCCCCACCTGCCTTGGTCGTTTAATGCTTACATTGACAATGCACGTAAATTTTTTTTTACTATATACCTAAGTTATTTTTATGCATTTAGATATTTTTTTCGGTCATCGGGTAGTCGTGCATTTATAAGTGCAGTTCCACATTAAACTTCTTAAAATTATCTCTGAGAAATTAAATTCATCCATAACGGAGATATATTTTTTATACAAGATATAATAAATATCATACTCTCTTTAAATGAATTAGTCAAAAATGACCAATTATTAGTCATATTTTACTAATTGTCATAGCGAAAAAGCAGTCACTAATAATTAGTCAAATTTTACAGAATGAAATAGTCAAATTAGAAGATTTAAAGCATCTAAAAAAGTATTGATCCAGCCAGAGCTGTTGTAACACAGATAGCACAGAGACATCTTAAAGATGTCGGACTCGGACTTTTATGATATTCAGTCCAGTCCAGTTTACGACGTAAGTCATTTTTAAGACGTCTTTAAGATATCTATAGATAACATTATAATGTTATAAAACACATCGTCTTTAAGATGTCCTTCTAACGGAATTATTAAGTCGTTGCTAGACGTCGTTAAGACGTATTTAAGATGTTAAAGACTACCTATTGAAAACGTCTTAGTTACAGGCTTGGAAAAAACCCGGGTTTTTTAAATAAAACCCAACCCATTGGGCTTTATTGGGTTTTTTCTAGATGTTGGTAAAAAAACATTTAAAAAGTACTGTTGATAAGAAAAATTCAAATATATTCACTACCTTCTCCTTCATAACTTATTTTCGCAGTCGTTCAACTATAAAATTCATAACTCGAACTTTAAAATTACGTTTGGTTTGGTCAATGGTTTGATCGTTTCTCAGTTTTTGAGTATACTGGTTTTGATTTAACACTAGTTTTTGCATACATAAAAATGTAATCTTTTTACAAAATAAAAAATATACAAAAATATCTAAAAGTTAAAGTTTAAGAAAAAAACACTTTTAAGAAGCCTGCCTCCCCTAATAAAGATAAAACAAATTTTAGTGGTGCAATTTATAATTTACCATAGTATATAAGTATAAATTCTAAATATTACAGATTTATACCATTTTAAATACATTTTTATTTATTTTTAAGAAAAAAACACACTTTTTAAAAACCCTGCGGGCTTTTTTAAATGGGTTCTACCCAAAAAACCCACTGGGCAGCCAACCCTGCTTAGTTACCTATGCATTGCTACACCGCCAAAACGTTTTTAGGTTATTAAGTAATTAAAATGTAGCTAATAATGCTTTTAAACTTCTAAAAATAGTTTATACTTCTATTAAAAATAAAAAAAAATTAAATTGTTACAAATTTATTTCTGCCTATTAATTCAAATCAATATAGTCAAAACTTCTTGACAAGTAGAACCCTTCTGTCTGAAGCCCTTGTATTATAGGTGGGTATCAGGGTCAGAGACCAGGGTATCACTCGGGCTATCAATTATTTTCTCGGAAAACTTTGACTTGTCACTTGATTTGTTAAACGTCGAACGGGAACATGAAAAAGGAAAACCGCCACGATTAGTAATAGCATTCAACCAAATTCAACATACTTAGAAGAAGCAAAAATGGCGTCGGATGTCTGCAATCTGCATTTAGTTACAAGTTACCTATTTAAGAATTGAAGACATATCAGCGCTTAGTGAAATAGAAAAGAACAGCATAAGGATCACATGGCCTTACTTATAGGATGGTGTAATAGGGTAAAAATCTGAAGTTTCACTAAATTTCAAAGAAATGGTTGTTTTGAAGAATTAAGAAATTTAATACTTAGAAGGATTTTTAAGAGAGCCAGATGTCACTTGGGGGGGCCTAGGAGCATGTTTTGGAAGTAATAAATAAATAGATAGAAAGTTTCTTTGTCCCCGAAACGCGCACTAAAAAGTAGCCAGATGATGTTTTTCTTGGAAAAAGCCTTAACGCTCAATTGAAAACGCTTCCCTTTGTTTAAATCGATCGTTGGAAAATTAAATAATAGAGAAAGTAGTTAAAAGAATAATAACAAATTTATTTAGTTAATAATCATTTAGATTAAAGAATTAGGACTAAGATAAGGATATAACCAGCCGTATAGTAGTTTTACCGATAGGTTTTAAGAATTTAATGTAACCCGAGAAAATTGTCTAATTGTATAACTTAGGTTGAAGTAAAAGGGTAGTTAGTAATTGCAGACATAGGATATTTTAATGTTTTGGACTTTGTTAACAGATTTAAATTTTTATAGAAAATAAGTAACTTTGTAGTTAGGCAACCCCGAATTCACCCTAAAGTCAGCGTTAAGTAGGGGTAGAAATTTCTCACTGCACGCCTCTGATTGGCCAGAAACTTCAACCCTGAGGCAAGTCACGCCCTCGACTTAAGAAAGTCTTTAAATACTCTGTACCACAGGGTTTGACAGATTTTATCTTGCAAGATTTCGCGCGCGTCGTTTCCGAGTTCGAAGGTCGAAGTTCTAGCCAGTCAGTGTAATTAATAAAGTCAGGTATATTGTTAAGTTTATTGTAAAGTTGCTTATACAGGTGCTCGCAGTTACGTTCACCTTAAGTGACCGGTTTAGTTTAAAATTTGTAGTTTAAAGTATTAGTTTTATAAGATTCATTTAGGTTACCTTTTTCTAAAGTTAATTTAGTTTTCGCTTATCAGTTTAATTCAAAAGTTAGTTTTTTAATCTTAATTTCTCCGTAAATTCTTTGTTAATTTTCTTTACCGTTAAATTATTAATTTTTCTTATTTCCTTTGTTAATTTTTATTCTTCTTCTTAATTGTAAATATATTGTTTGTGGTTAGAATCTGCTTTGTTTCTTTGGGTACCTGTTAATTCTAATTACCCAGTGCTTGGCAAACGTAAGTATATCGTGATTCGCGAAGTGTTCCGGGAGATCCGTCGCGAGTGACTTAGTGTGGTGATTCGTGCTTATTGGGATTACCAAATCATCAGCAACCGTCGCTGGATTAAAGGTCAGATTAGTGGTAACATCCTTGTAACGGACTGATAGTAGTCTATATCAGCCCCGCTCCCCGCGTTAATTAACCCAAAAAACCACCCGTTACAACTGGTGTCAGATGTGTCTCATAATTTTTCAGAACTAATTTCTCTTGCATTAAATATTTGATTGTATATAGGTGTATATGGAGTTAAATATTGATATAAGTTTTTATTACATGTAATCGTATTATCAAAATACCTTAAATAGACACAACTGGTTTCAGGTGTACCCCCGTAAAGCGCATTTATTTTGTGAAATAGCTATACACTTATGTTGATTTGTAAATGTTAAGTTTTATAGCGATTGAAAAAGTACCTAAAAGTTAAAAGTTGTAAAAAGTCGAAATCTCTAGTAAATAAAGCGCGCGCAAGGTAATTTAGGGGCTGTTAGGACGCGTGCGGATAAAAGCTAGGTAGATCTCCGGCAATAAACTAATCACTCAATGGTTATTGTCGTTATTAATAGCAAAGGGCAATTACTCAAAATTGTTTAAGAAATTAAATAATTTTCTGTAATTGTTTTCATTGTTTTGAGTGTTAGGGTATGTGTAAAGGTGCTATTGTAAAGACAAATGGGAACAATGCATCTTTATTACATTTAAGAAATTAGGAGACAGACAAGTAATTTTAATTTGATTTAAGGCACAATAGCTAACAGGAAGCGGAATTAATCGATTTTACACCGTTAATTAAATTTTGTGACAGGTGGAATTAAGAGTTAATTATACAAAATTTTTATTAACGTATTTTGTATTAGTGTGTCTGTCTCCCCAAATAATTAGTTATAATAATTAATATTCCGTTGCGAAGCAATTAAATAATTACGAGTCATATTGGTAAACTATCTCTTTGTTAATTCCTCCAAAAAGTTACTTGCAATTTAAAGAGTCTATAAAAACAATAAATGCAGTTAAGATAAACAGTTTAAGGATTAAGATCGCAGCAGTTTAGAGTTTACAAGGTATAAAGAGTAGACAATAGTACAAAAGCGCAGAAAGTAAACTCGATCTAATTACGTGTGCTTCGTTAATTAGATATAAGGTCTTCTCGATTTCCACAGCAAAAAGTCGTACACAGCCAGGAACTCTGTGACGCAGGAGACCCACAGAGGACCACATAGCCAGACATATTATTTCCTGTGCCAATAAAGTTGTTTTTATTCGTCAACTCATCGTCCCCATAACCGCGAAGTGATAGGTTTGATTTATTTCCATAGCTTTTCGGGTTACAGTTGTCAGTTAGTGATTTGTTAAAATGACAAATCAAACCACAGTATTACCTAATGGAACACTCCAAAATAATTTAGAAGAAACAATAAGCACAAATAAGCTGTCCGACTTATTTCAAAAAATAACATTGGGCACAACTCTCAATTTAATAGACGATTATAAGGGAGGACCTGATTATGACCTCTTTATCAATAGAATCCAAGCAATAGGGCGAAAAAATCGATAGACGGGACAAAGGGTCCAATTAGAAAAGCACCCTACAGAGTACCAGTGGCTAAAAAGAAAATAGTGGAGGAAAAAATTGAAGAAATGTTAAAAAATGACATAATTCGCCCTAGTTCTAGCCCATGGAGCGCTCCTATAGTATTAATAGAGAAGAAAACCGAGACAGGTAGCAGTGATTATAGATTTTGTATAGACTATAGAGCTTTAAATGCAATAACAAAGAGAGACTATTTTCCTATTCCAAATATACACGAAACAATAGATTCACTAGGCGGTGCCGAACTATTCACTAAATTAGATTTAAAATCAGGCTATTGGCAGGTAGAAGTACATCCCAAAGATAGAGAAAAGACAGCGTTTTCAGTACCTTGGGGTCATTACGAGTGCAACAGGATGCCGTTTGGTCTAGTTAATGCGCCATCCACGTGGCAGAGGTTAATGTATTCAGTCTTGGCGG